CCAGGCACTTCATTCTTTTATTTTTTTAAATGAATGCATTATCTTTTCTCTCTCTAAAGTTATCAATTTTTAAGTTTCTTCTGTTCCCTGTGTCAGCTGTTTTTGTTTTTTTGTTTTTTCCTGTTTGTTGATGCCTTTCTCTCCTGTTAGATGTGATCTTGAAATATCTGGTGATCTTTGCCTGTCATTTAGTACTTAAGATTGAGGCACTCAGAGCTGATGGAAGTGTATGGTAGACTTGTAATAAGGTGGTCAGTCACCTTGACTTTTGTTTAGCGTCCCCTTGCTGCACACAATTAGGTTTTATTTTTCTCCATTCTGAGAGTTAATATCTTTGAAATTTTTATTGCTCTCTCTCTCTCTCTCTCTCTCTCTCTCTCTCTCTCTGTCTACCATTCATCATCCCCCCCATCCTCTTGTGAGTTCTTAATCTTTAGGAGTCTTATCTTCTTGGTAGGGTTTAAGTAAAGAGTAGAGATATAGGCATGAGTTCAATCTGGCCAGTGTAATGAGACTTTGCCACTTAAATTGGTTTTGGGTTTAACCTTAGTCTGGTAAGCTTGATTTTTATGCCTCATGTCCCAGGAGTGTAGGCCATTCAGTGCCCTAAGTCATGATTTGGACCCACAAAATCAACTACAAACACTCCTGCTATGGAGGTAGGCCCTATCTAGATCCTGTCTGAGCCACCTTTCTAATGTAATTCTAACAACTGCCCCAGAATTATGTCCTAAAACAAGCTCATTAATGTTATTCCCCTCTTGGAAACCTTTAATGGCTTACGGCCTTCAGAATCCATTTCCAACTCCTTGTCAGAGCCCTGTGTGATCTGCCTCCCAGCTGACTTTTCAAAGCCTCTGCTGTGTTCCACTCCATTCTTCAGTGTGCCAGCCGTTTCTTGACCACAACATTATACATGTTTATGCCACGGTATCTTTGTCTTTCAGGTTGTTCCCTTGGCTATAATGGCTCTCCTACAGCCTCTGTGAACAAATCATTCTTGAAGCCCCCTCTCCTCAGTAAAGCCTTCTCTCCCAACCCTACCCCCCTACTGAATTATGCTCCTTTTTCTACAAGGTACCTTGTATCACTATTTATTTCATTTATATCTCCTGTTATGTGAAACACAGGTTCTAAGAATGGTCTCAGATCCCCTCAACCTCCTCCTCCTCCCTGAAGATGCCATCTGCCACCTGGACCACACTCCCCGGTCTTGCCTTTGCCAGCAAACCTAACTAACACTCTCTAAGCTGACTAGAGCCCAAGTTAAACTCTGGGCCTCCATACCAAGCCCTCTCCATTCTCAGCCATCCCCCCATGTTAGAGTTGGAGGAAATGCTACATATCAGGCCACAACTCTGGCTTTCTGAACTGCCAGAGAAGGGTGAGATGATGAACAGAAGTGTAGAGGAGTTGGCTCCCATGGAAGGAGCCTTGATTAATGAAATGTGTAAGACAGGAGGAAGCCTGGCAGGCAAATTCCCGCTTCTTTCTCCCTTCTGTGGATTACTCTCAGGAATGGTTTTTCCTTTCAAGCCTCCCAAAGAAAGTCCAGCCTGCTGAGTGAACACATATACCAAACAACCTGTGTGGCTTTTTGTCTCATTGTGAAGCCTGTTCCTCACCCTCACAACTCTGTTCTTACATACCCCAAATAAAATACCAGCATTTTAATCCTTGCCTCAGGCTCTGCTTTCTAGAGGACCTCAGCAAGACAAATTTACATTTAAAATTCATTTAAAATTCATAAATGTAGGGACTTCCCTGGTGGCACAGTGGTTAAGAACCCACCTGCCAATGCAGGGGACACAGGTTCGAGCCCTGGTTCAGGAAGATCCCACGTGTCATGGAGCAACTAAGCCCGTGTGCCACAACTACTGAGCCTGCACTCTAGAGCCTGTGAGCCACAACTACTGAAGCCCGTGCACCTAAAGCCCGTGCTTTACAACAAGAGAATCCACTGCAATGAGAAACACGCACACTGCAACAAAAAGTAGCACCTGCAAGCCACAACTAGAGAAAGCCTGTGCACAGCAATAAAGACCCAATGCAGCCAAAAGTAAATAAATAAAATTTAAAAATAATAAAATTCATAAATTTATTATTTGTTAATAAATCTGGCAGTCATAGCTATTAATTTTTCAACCACACATATGAGACCAAGAAGTACCAGAGCTCTTCCACTGACTTGACATTGAGATCCTACAAATATTTATACCTTTTAGGAATACAGAGACGTCAAGTAACAGTTTATCAAGAAATACAGGTTTCATTTGGGGGGTTTTTTCACATGACACAGGAATGGTTCCAGTTGCTCACATTCTTGCCAGCACTTATATTGTCAGTTTTTTCATTTCTTTGAGCTGTTCTAATACAGATGTAGTGTTGTGATTTTTAAAACAGCTTTAGAGATATAATTGACATATACACTGTACAACTGTTAAAGTGAACAGGTTGATAAATTTGACATGTATACATCCATGAGACCATTACCACAATTAAGATAGAACACATCTATTGATATTACCCCAAAGGTTCCTAGTGCCCCTTTGTAATTCTCCTTTTCCACCCCAGGCCCCCTACCCAAGCCACTGGTGATTTGCTTTGTCACTATAAATTAGTTTTATATAAATGGAGTCATACAGTATACACTATTTTTATGTCTGGCTTTTTTCTTTCAGCATGACTATTTTGAGATTTATCTATGTTATTTTATGTAGCAATAGTTGATTTCCTTTTTACTGCCAAGTTGTATTCCATTGTATGGATATACAGTTTGTCCATTCACTTGATGAACATTTGGGTCGTTTCCAGCTTTTGGTGGTCACAGACAAGTCACTGAACTGAGATAACTTTTTTTTTCTGTGTCTATTTTTTAATTGACTTTACTGGGGCATAATTTTATAAAATGTACTCTTTAAAAGTACATAATTTGATGAATTTTGACAAATTCATACTCCCTTTTAACTAACACCACATCAAGATATAGAACATTGGGGCTTCCCTGGTGGCGCAGTGGTTGGGAGTCCGCCTGCCAATGCAGGGGACATGGGTTCGTGCCCCGGTCCGGAAAGATCCCACATGCCGTGGAGCGGCTGGGCCTGTGAGCCATGGCCACTGAGCCTGCGCGTCCGGAGCCTGTGCTCTGCAACGGGAGAGGCCACAACAGTGAGAGTCCCACATACCGCAAAAAAAAAAAAAAAAAAAAAGATATAGAACATTGGCTTCACGTGAATGCAAAGGTTCCCTTGGGGGTTCTTTTCAGTCAGTGTCTCCCACTTGCCCATTCCTAGCAACCACTAATTTGCTTTCAGTCACTCTAGAATAAATTTGCAATTCCTATAGTTATAGAAATGGAATCATACAGCAACATAATTTTAGTTTCTTGCTTTTTTGCTGAGCATGTTTTTAGATTCATCCATGTGGCAAGTATTGTTATAAGTATGTTCATTCCTTTTATTACTGAATAGTATTTCATGACATTAGTTTACCACAATTTGTTTATCCATTGATGTGTTGTTGGGCACTGGGTTGTTTCCAGTTTGGGGCTATCATGAGTCAAGTTACTATGAACATTCACGTTCAAGCCTTTGTGTGGACACATTTTCACTTCTGGGTAAATACCAAGGAGTGAAACTGCTGGGTATGGTAAGAACACATTTAATTTTTTAAGAAACTGCCAAACTCTTCTTCAAAGTGGTTATACTATTTTATACTCGGACTAGCAACATGTGAGGGTTCTAGTTCTGCATGTCTGACAACACTTGGTATTTAAAAATTTTAAGGTCTTTTAAATTTTAGTCATCTTACGGGTATGTAGTAGTATCTCATTATGTTTCTAATTTGTATTTCCCTGATGAATAATGATGTTGAGCATTTTTTCAAGTTTTTATTGGCCTTTCATATATCTTTTGTGAAGTGTGTTCAAAAATGTCTCCTATTCTTAATTAGGTTGTCTCATAATTTTTGAGTTGGAGTTCTTCACATAATCTGGATACCAGTCTTCTGTCAGAACAATTTTTTTTTTCATATATATTCCCACTGTGCTCAAGCCACAAGGTTCTTTGCTCTTTCTTAAATAGGCTAAGGCCATATCTGTCTCAGCCTTTGAACACTCTTTGTTGCCTGGAATGCTGCTCTTCAAATACACACAGAACTTGCTTCCAGACCTCCTCCAGTCACTGTTCAAATGGCCCTTTTTGGTGAGATCTTTCTTAACCATCCTATTTAAAATAGTAATACCCACGGCCTGACATTACCTCATTTCCTCTGGTTTTTTCTCCATAGCATATATCCACCCTATTTTTTATTTACCTGTCTTTTTGTTTAAAGAAAAGTATTGACCAACATGAGCCCCAAGCATAAAAAACATGGAAAATAATTCCCTGCAGCCTGTTCAGCGGATTACCTCCTCTTTTAGAGGCTGATACATTTAAGGATGACAAGTCAAATCTGTGAGCCTGCTGAATGAAGAGGTTGACTCCATTAACGTACTGTCACCTCTCTCTGAAGTACCTCAGGTAGGTCGCCGACTGCGTTCGGCTCCAGGAGATCCTTCCCCAGTGAGCGTACCCAGAACAAGAAGCAAACTGAATCCCGCCTGCCTCGAAAAAGAACTGTTGAATCTCGAGCAGCGGAGACGTACGTAGAGCTCATTGGAGCCAATACTTTTCTTTGCACAGGAGGAAACTGAGGACGTCTCGTCCAAGGTCAAGGTGCTTAAGGACCGGACGGAGCCCCACACAGATCCCCCCAGCTTCCAGCCCTGCCGGAGGAGTCTCGCCTCCTCCCTCGCCGGAAGTGGTGGACGGAGCCCCGGCTCTCCTTCGCGTCCGCTGATGCGATTCAAGCCGGGGAAGAAGGGTGTGCCGGGAGGGCGGAGAAGGGGCGCAGCTGAGGGCGATCTTCCGGAAGTTCAGGGCTTTGTTTCCGTGGGGAAGATCTTACGAGACGAACAGGGACGCGACGGTGAGTCCTCGCCGAGCAAGACCTGGCCGGGCGGGAACGGAAGACGCAGTCCCGGCACCCATTTTTTAGACAAGGGGTGTGATCCTCGGCTTCCTCGTTTATCGAGCGCCTCCCGAGGCCGGGCCCTAGGATGCAGCCCGGCAATGATCTGCTTAGTCTCTCCCTGATGTGTCAGCTGACGATACATCATCCTGATAAGGCCGCGACTCATCAAAGTTGTGACAGAGGAGCTCGTAGAATAGGGAGCTAGTCCTGGGTTCTGGGCGCGCTGGTAAATGGGCTCTTACCGGCGAGTTGAAGGGAGGGAGGATTGCATCAGGGGAACTGCCTGTCCTAGAGGGCGCGTGGGGGCGGGATCTTGGTGAATTGAAGCTGAGAAGTCAAGTGCGGCGGTGGCGGAATGAGCGCGATCAGGGGAGGGGTGCGCTAGGAAGCCGAAGAGGGAGGAAGGGTTCAGATTATAGAGTTTGGAACGCCCGTGGGTGGAGGTTGGATGATAGGAGGGCAGGAATGGTGAGGCGACCACTTCTAGGAGGTCACAGATGTAGATGAGAGATGGTGGCCTACGGTGGTGGCAGTGGGTATAGGAGAGAATTGGAGCTGTCGAGTTGATAATTAAAAATTGACAAGACTTTTGGATTAGATATGGGATTTGAGTGAGAGGTTAGTATCCAACGATGATTCGAAGTTTCTGACCTGAGTGAATTATATAAAACAAAACAAACCAATTTGACGTTTGCTAGGGGACCTTTTTCCCCTAGTGTAAAAAAAAAAAACCACAAAAAGTTTTTTCCTCCCTGGTTATATGTACTCATTATATTTTGTGTGCACACTGCAGAAAATTCAGAACATACACACAAAAATATTTTTTATAGAAAACAGTAAAAATTACCTGCAATTCTGCTATCCAAGATGGCCGTACTTTGGTGTGCTTCCTTTATGTTTTTGCTTTCTGAGTGCATCCTTTTGTATAATTGGGTATACATTCTGTCTGTATCTATTTTTTTTTTCCATTGGACGTTATCATGATAATAAAGGTTGAACTGCTGTGTGCTAGGACATTATTCACAAATTTTATTCTTTCCTGATTGTAACAGAAAAGATCAGATGTAATTCCAGCAAGTCAAGGATAACTTTTTGTTGTATTTTTCTTTCAATATTTTTTCTTTTTGTGTACCTTTTAAAAAACCCCACAATTTATGTCACATTTTGTGTTTTGTTTTCCAATCAGATGTGAAGTACTTAATGTTATTTATTGCTATATTTACACATCCTTAACTACTCTTCAAGACTAGTTTTTAGTGGTTGTTTTGTAAAAACCAATCCCCTGTTACTAGTTAGGTAGGTTTTCAACTTTTTACTCTTAGGATGATGAGAAGGACATCTTATTACATAAATCTTCAGATTGCCAATTTATTCCTTAAGAAAAATGTTAGCAATGGAACGTAGGTAAAAGGATAAAATGAACCTATAAAATTGCCTCACCCAAATATCTCATTGGGACTTTAATTGAAATTGTTTTAAAGATCAGATTTTTGCAGTGCTTAGTTTTTCCATTTCAAAGATAGATTATGTCTTTCCAGTTATTTGTATTTTATGCCCTTGTTAAATTTACGTCTATAAAGGGTCAGTATTATCATTTAAGAATTGTACCCTCGTGGCTAAATTCCCATGTGTGAAATGAATATCTTTGAGTTGTGTCATACTTTCTTCTATAAGATTATTTTCTTTATATTTGTGTCTAGGTTCTGCTAAAATATAAACAAATGGTGAGATCAGAAAGCTAAAAAGACCAAGTTAGAGTGAGTTTTCCTTAATGCTATAATTAACCTGTGGTCTAAACAATTTTTAGTTTTCTGCTCCTAGTTGTCTGTTGGGAAGCTGCCCTCCTTCCATGCATCAGAGCCTGCCTTATCTGCACAGCCAGGGGGCCAGGTGTCAACCTTGATCCTTTCCCAGGAATGGTAAAGGAAGCTAGAAACAGCTCAGCAGGGTTAGGAAGACAGTGTCTCATGAGAATGCCAAATGTTTTGGGGTGGATTTTTCTAGTTTAACAGTTCTACATCTCATTATTCAAGTTACTTTAATATATTTAATTGTTAGTAAGGATATTTGTTTGTTAGTGACTTACCGTTGTAAACTTTTGGTCTTTTGGTCTTGTGCAATAGAATCTTGCTTATCGATGAAATGCAGTTAACACATCAGCTGGACCTATTTCCCGAATACAGGGTGACCCTTCTGTTATTTAAAGATGTAGAAAATGCTGGAGACTTGAGGAAAAAGGCCATGGAAGGTGCCATTGACGGCTCATTAATAAATCCTACAGTGGTAAGTACTCGTGGGAATGAGTGAACTATATGGGGAGTTTAAGAATATGATGATTTTTCATGACGTTATAGGTTAGCCTAAAACTGCTATCTTCAGGTAAAAAGTTCTTGTCCAAGCTGTAGAGTGGAATCAGATTTGGCCAGCCTTGAATTTAACAGTGAATAGAAGCCGAAGTGCCAGGGCCTGCCCTTGGAGATGTGAAAGGTGGTCTAGCTCTGATGTGATGGCAGATGCCCGGATCTCCACCTTCTCTTCTGAACTAGAAAATCTCTGTAAAGGAGACATTGCATAGTGGTAGAATCAGCAGGACTTAAATCCCAGATGTGCCATTTATTATGACTTTGAGCAAGTGGTAGCCAACCTTTATATAGTGCTAATTTGGTTCCTGGCATTGTTCTAAGTTCTTTACATATACCGCGAACTCACTTAATCTTCATAACAACCCTGTGAAGTAAGTATGGTGATTATCTGCTTCTACAGATAAAACACTAAGGAATTTGCCCAGGTTCCCTCGGTGGTAAGTGACAGAACTGGAATTCCAACTCATCCTTTGCCTTGGTTTCCTCATCCATTGCATGTGAATAATGATACAGATATCATAGGGTCGTTTTGAGAAGTATAGAAAATGAAGGTAAAATGTTGAGAATATGGCCTTTCCCATAATAATAGCCCGCAATAAGTGTTGTTTTAAAACTTTTTACTATTTACCTAAGTTGCTTGCAGCTGTAAAATTCTGTGATTTTCTAAACACCGTAGGCCCTTGAGATTTTGAAAATTTTGAAAATGTAGTCCGTAAGAATTGCGATGAAGTAAAACAGCCTGACACTGGAGTTACCATGATATAGGGCATATGTCTTCAGAGTACTCCAGATTCTCTGTACGTAATTCTTTTTGTTCTCTTTGGTAGATTGTCGATCCATTTCAGATACTTGTGGCAGCAAACAAAGCAGTTCACCTCTACAAACTGGGAAAAATGAAGACAAGAACTCTATCTACTGAAATTATTTTCAATCTTTCCCCAAATAACAATGTAATTAATATGGAATTTACTTACTTTATATCTTTTGACCTTGTCATGGTAGCCTTTGTACTTATTGTTGGGTTGGAGCCTGTTGTTAGTAACAAACAAAAATAATAGTGAAGAAGGAATGCTGGACAGAGAGTTGAGGTTTAGTATTGCCTCTTACTAGACAAATAAGCTTTGGAGTCACTTCACATATGAGTAAACTAAAGTTTAGCTAAATTAAGTGAGGATAGTTTTATTTGTCCTTCCTGACCATAGAGAGTCAGGAAGATCACTCTAAGTGATATTTAAATCTAATGATAAAAATTAGGCATGGATATTTGTGTGTTATCATGTGTATCTTTCGTTCTCCCCATAAACTCTCTGAGGATAGAACCCATGTCTTTTCCATACACCAGAAGTCTGCCTGGGACCTAGAACAGCCCTTTAACACATGCTCACACACCCAGTGCATAGGAAGAGTTTGTGGTTTGAGATACTGATAGAAATCAAAGTTGTTGAGTTTAAAATATTCTACCAGGGGCACATTTGAAAAAAAAATGTAATTTTGCTGACAAAGTTTTAGTATTACTGCTACTATTAACAACACAATCAAGTGCTGACATCAAGAGAAAAGTTAGGAAACCCATGGCATAGTTCAAAATACAGATGTTTGAAAAGTTTATAAAATGTGTGGTGATAGAATTCCCCAGTACCTGGGGGAAAATTACTGGGTTACTATTGTTTCTTTGAGATCACTGAAATAACTCAGGAGACTGTACAATTCATAAACATCTGTTGAGCTTGTGTCTGTTCCAGCTGTAGGGGCAGAAGAAACAAATATGTTTCTGAGGAAGGCAGATGAACAAGACGAAGTCCAAATGCCCTAAGATAATTGATATAATGGGAATAATAATGCAAATCTGTGGGAACAAAGAAGCAATTCATTCTGTAAGGAGGAAAGTGCAAGGGGAGTGACATTTGAACTGGACCTTGAAAGATGAGGGCACTCCAGGCAGAGGGCAAAGTGTGAGCCCAGGCAAAAAAGTATGAAATGACGGGAGCCCCAAACAGTCCCGACTGGCTAGAGGGCAGGAGTGCATGGCTAGAGGGTCACTTAGGTCCAGGGGGAGTGGGTGTTCGTGCGCCATGCCAAGTCCAGGCTTGACTCTATGGGAATGAAGTGCAGCTTTGAGCAGGGAGTACTCAAGAGGCAGAGCTGGTAGATATTAGGAAGGGATTGTTGAAAAACTGTAGACAGAGAAAACCATTAGGATATGAAAAATAAGAATCTGACCAGGAAAGAGCACAAATGGGGAGAGGTTTCAGATGTTGAAACTACTGGTTTTATTGTCTTTTTTTTCCCCCTTAGATTTCAGAGGCCTTGAAAAAATTTGGTATCTCAGCAAATGACACTTCAGTTCTGATTGCTTATATTGAAGAGGGAGAAAAACAAATAAATCAAGAATACCTAATATCTCAGGTAGAAGGCCATCAAGTTTCTCTCAGAAATCTCCCTGAAATAACAAATATTACGGAAGTCAAAAAGGTTTGTAAGCCTGTATTTTTAGAAAGAGCATGATAGATGTGGAATAATACTGTTTGCTTACTGAACACCAATGCTTCTATATACATTTTTAACTTTTAAGAAAGGTTAATATAATTAAAAGTTACTTTAAAAATAATTATAGATGCAAAGAATTGGAAACGCAGGTTTATGCAACATAATTAAAAACTTAGTTGATGCATTCTTTTTTTATATATATAATTTTATTTATTTATTTGTGGCTACGTTGGGTCTTCATTGCTGCGCACGGGCTTTCTCTAGTTGCGGCAAGCGGGGGCTACTCTTCGTTGCAGTGCGCAGGCTTCTCATCGTGGTGGCTTCTCTTGTTGCCGAGCACGGGCTCTAGGCACGCGGGCTTCAGTAGTTGTGGCACACGGGCTCAGTAGTTGTGGCTCGTGGGCTCTAGAGCACAGGCTTTAGTAGTTGTGGCTCACGGGCTTATTTGCTTAGCAGCATGTGGGATCTTCCCGGGCCAGGGCTCGAACCCGTGTCTCCTGCATTGGCAGGCGGATTCTTAACCACTGTGCCACCAGGGAAGCCCAATGCATTCTTTTTAAAAGAATAGATAATTTTAAATATCTGTACCTTACACAGTACATTTAAATATCTATATCTTACACAATGTAGTATGAAGTTAATGTCTAGATGTATGCTTTTAAAACTGGTACAAATGTATTTCTATGTTTAGAGAGTTATCACCATAACTGCAATTGAAACTTTTGATGTAAGTGGTGAACTGTCATCTATTTTCCATACTTTAATCACATTGTGATTTTACACCATTATCCCAATAATTGCGTAATAAATTAATTCACATATACATGCTCGTGTAATGAAAATTAGTAGTACATGAATATGTCAGCATGTCATAATCTGTCTTTTATTTTTACAGATATATAAACTATCTACGCAAGAAGAAAGCATTGGGACATTATTGGATGGTATCATTTGTAGGATGTCAACAAAAGATGTTTTGTGAAATGACAGAAATATTAAAAATTTTCAGCAATTATAAAAGCCATTCATTATTTTTTCCGGATTATAAAATCTATTATGTTTGTTGTAGAAAAATTTAAAGCACGGAATGGTAACAAAGGAAAAAAAATAAAACCATTCCTGATCCTATCTCTTAATATTTTAAAAGATAACCGTGGTTACTGTTATTTGTTACTGCCTTCTAGTCTTCTGTTTCTGTTCAAATATATTTTATTTTTATGTAAGTGGAATAATTGCTAACATTTATCGGGTGTCTACAATGTACTGAGTTCTTGTTTTCATGACTTTATATCCCTCAGCTCATATTCCTGCACTTCCTTCTGGCTACTCCAGCATTGCTGTTCCAAGCCTCCTGGTTCCAAGTTTTTACATGCAAGAATTCATTTAATTATCACAGCATCATATGAGGTAGATACTGTTAATACTCTCATTTTACACAAAGGCAACTAAAAGGTTGTAGAAGCAATAACTTGCCCGAGGTTTTACAGCTAAAAGTCATGTTTTATAAATCCTTTGGTTTTTTTTTTTGTTTTTTTGTTTTTCTATTTTGTCTTAAAATATGATTGTGTCAGTCAAGATAGAGTAGGTTAGGGGTCAGCAAACTTTTCTGTTAAGGACAAGGTAGTACGTATTTTCAGTTCTACAGGCCATATGGTGTCTGTTGCACCTACTCAGCTCTTGCTGTTGTAGTGCTGAAGCATCCACAGACAGTATATAAATGATACACACAGCTGTATCCCAGTAAAACTTTATTTACAAAAATAAGTGATGGGCAAGATTTGACCAGAGGGCAGTAGTTTCTGGACTCCTAGGTTAGATTAGGCTGTAATTTAGGGTCCCTAAAGCTCATTGGTTTCATACGACAAAAGATTGTCTTGCTCACTCCACATAGCCACTGTGAATCAGTAGGAAGACTCATTGCAGTGACTCAGGAATCCAGTCAGCCAAAGGCTTTATGTCAGCATGTGCTCTGTGGGTCACTGCACAGCTGGAAGTTATGCTGTGAGTTACATGGTGGCTCTTAAAGCTCCCATGTGGAAGTGACAGATATCGCTTATCTCATGTTTCACTGTCCAGTCACATGGCCATGCCAACATCAAAAGGGGTGGGGGAGTGCGATCCTGCACCATGATAGAGAATGGAGAGGTAGAAATCCTTAGGGGACAAACACATATTTCCATTGTGGTCATAAATAATAAGGTACCAAAGCACATCGTTAGCGTTTCTTGCATGTGCTGCGCTAAGCTCTTTATATGCACTGCCTCATATAGTCCTCTCTACAACCCTAAGAGATTTTACCACCTTCAAGGAAGCAAATTTAGTCTCTGAACTCTATTTCAAAAGGTTTCAAACCTACAGAACAACTGAAAATAATACAATGAACATCCATGTGACTTTCATGTGATTTCACTATTTGTTAACATTTTGCTACATTTGTTTGCTTTTCTGAAATATTTGAAAGTAAATTGCAGACCTTATGGCACTTCACCCTACATTGTGTTTAGTTGTTATGTCTCTTAGTCTCCTTTAATCTAAAACAATCTTTTTTTTAAAGATTTTTTTTGATGTGGACCATTTTTTATAAATATTTATTCATAAGTATTTTTATTTTTTTAAATATTTATTTAATTTGGTTGTGCCGGGTCTTAGTTGCAGCTGGCGGGCTCCTTAGTTGTGGCACGCAGGCTCCTTAGTTGCAGCATGCCTGTGGGATCTAGTTCCCTGACCAGGGATCAAACCTGGGCCCCCTGCATTGGGAGCACAGAGTCTTAACCACTGTGCCACCAGGGAAGTCCTGATGTGGACCATTTTTAAGGTCTTTATTGAATTTGTTACAGTATTGCTTGTGTTTTATGTTTTGGTTTTTTGGCCACAAGGCATGTGGGATCTTAGCTCCCCGACCAGGGATCAGATCTGCACCCCTTGCATTGGAAGGAAAAGTCTTAAGCACTGGACCGCCAGGGAAGTCCCATAGAACAATCTTTCTTTCTTTCTTTTTTTTTTTTAAGTGATGTTGACATTCTTTGACGAGTACCCTAGATGTGTTCCAGAATTTCAGAATGAGTTTGTTCATGATTCGAGTCAGTTTAAAAATTTGGGGGAATGATAGTAGATAGATTTTGTGTCCTTCCAGTTGTGTATTGTTGGGAGGCACATCATGTCAGTTGGCCTCATCATTGGTGATACAGTTTGGTCACTTCATTAAGGTGGTCCCCACCCCCTGCCAGACCTCTCCATTATGAAGGCATCTTTTCCCCTGAAGCTTAGGGAGTCAAAGCTGCTGTAAAGCTCAAAGTGCTTGTGGTCAAAATGAAGACTCAGATCTATCTGAGTGACCCCTGATTCTATGCTCCTAATGACTCCATCACACTGCTTCTTCCTGTGCCATCACTCAAACATGTTTTAATCAATGTGAAACATCACATATGTAATTCTATTTTTATACAATGACATTGCTTTCAATTTTTCATTTCGCTTTTGCAAATAAATCTCTGTACACATCTCTTTCTTTAGGATAGCTTCCCTGAAGTGGAGTTATTAGGGAAGAGGATATGAATTTTTTAATACCAGAAAGGTGCCATTTTGCACTTGTAATTGGCACAAGAGTGCCAGTCTCAGCAGAGTCGCCAACAATGCCTTTTAACTTTTCAACACTTTCACCATTTTGAGTTGTCAGACTACTGGTGAAGTTGAACTGTTTATTAGTTTGTTATGAAGAGTGTTTTGAAAGTGTTATAAATAGTTATTTCTGTAACTATTTATAATGTTTTCAACTCTTTGTGAGCCTTTGGCTGAAGAAGAAAAAAGAAAAAGTAATGCCATTTCCTGGGAAAGAAGGTAACGTAAGCTCCACAAGCTTTTTCTCTAAAATAATTGATGCAATTTAGGAACAACGTTCTTTGTTCCTAAATTAACCAGGTTGCTTCAGAGCCTAAAGGCTCCCCAGCAAAAGCAAGCTGTAATTATAGGGACTTTGGTGCTGGCAGAGAAGGGATGCAGTTTGGTAGGACACCCTTATCTGGCCCCCTAGTCAAGGGTTACATATTAAAGTAAAAAGCCAGCTGTCTCTGGGATAAGGTGAGGGAAGGGGGCTCTGTTACCAGGCAATCATTGTTGCTCCCCATCTCCCCAGTCTTGGGAACAACTAAGGCTGTAACTACAGTGAAATGGTCTTTAATCCCCTATTCCCCTCCCCACCACACACTCAGAACTACAAGAACTGCTCCCAAGCCCTGCACCTTCTTTTTAGAAGGAGCCTCATGGCTCACAGGTTATTTCAGGCCTCCTGCTGCCATTCTCATTCTGCTTTTCCCCTTGATGACCTTTCCACTTGTCTGCAAACTACAGTAGTCAATTCCTCTGCTCTGGAACCTGTGCTGGGGTTGCAGCTGCTTCTCTGCTCCTGGCTTTGTTTTGCTGACTGACGTGCCATCTGTACTCCATGTTACAATATTGAGTAAAGCACAGCTCTCTAGGTTGATTGGGTGCAATGAGCAAAGTTTGTATTCATCAAATTTGCCTGTTCTTGTTTTCATATCCTCTGTGCCAGTAGTGTCCCATTGTTCCCTCCAGGTCACCCTTCATCTTTCTCCACTCTTCTCTCTGCCCTGGAGGCTGACTTACCATGTACCCAGCAAGAAGTCCTCCCTTCCCCATGGCTTCTACTTGGGTTTGGCCAGTGTGTGTGAAGGGGGGAGGCTAGCAGGAGAACGAGGCCAGGGTATTTATTCTTCTGGCCCCTCCCTGCAAGGACCCCTAGGCTGGCTTTGGCCCTGAACCTCTCAGGGCGGTCTGCGCTACTCAACTCCTGGGTCAGGTTCCTGTCACCTCTCCCTCCGCCTCACTTCAGGCCTCTGAGCAATAACACGTCTGGTTCCCCTCTACCCATCCACACCTTCATAACTAGGCCCTCTGGTGATCTATATCTGTAAGATCAGCTCGAGTTATCCTAATTTGAGTGCTGATACCATCTCCCTTTTGCTAAATTTGTTAAAAGGTTAGGTTAGATTAGAAACATTTCTGTAGAGCTGAATCATTGTTCTAGGATTTCTGAACATCCTGCCAAGGACCTATTAGTCCACTTTCTTTCCCCTTGAAATAATTTGCTGTTATTTCCTCTCATTCTCACTAAGTTATGAGTTCTCAGTGGGAGACCAGGGCATTGACCTGAGGCTAGGTTATTGGGAGCCCCGATGAGAGATCAGGGGAGATGATGTTCTTTCCAGGTCATTTTCCTTCTCTTTCTGAGGCTTCTAAAACACTATGACTCTTGTCTACCTTCCATTTCATTGGCCCATTTCTGGACTAAGCTGGTCTATTAGGCAAATGTTCTTCATAAATGCAAGCATGGGATTTCATTGACATGCTGCTCTCAAGTCCCACAACTCTGGGAATAACAGTGATTTCAAAAATATAATTACCTATTATAATCAGGCTCCTATAGGCAATATAAAAATAAAATAATTTATCCAGTTACTTGTAACTGTTTGTAATAAGTTAACAGTTACTTGTTAAGCAAGTAACAAATTAACAGTGATATAAGTGCTTAATGAGAAGTGCAAAGGCTTCAAAGAGGGAGCAGATACAAGATCCATCTGCTTGGGAGGGGTCAGAAGTCTTGATGGAGAAGGTAGCACTAAACTGGATCTTGAAGAAAGAACAGAGCCTTAGTCACGTATTGGAATTTGTTCAAGTATGGTCTGACCGCTGGTGATAGGGGCGTCATGAGGCTTGTAGGTGAATCTTGCATCCCAGCAGACAGAGCTGGTTCTCCTGGAATACAGTGCTTTACACTACTTAATAATTCACTTGTCAGACAGCTGCCTGTTGGGGTCAGCATGTGGTACTGGAAAAGCAAACTGTTCAGGCCTTCAAGTCAGAGCTGCCAAGGCTTGGGTCCCACCCTGCCATTTTCTATGGGGTTGTGGGTTGGGTATCTCAGGCTTGTGGGCTTCGGTTTCCCATTCGTAAAATGGAAACAATATCAACCTTAGCTCTTAGGTTGCTGCCAATATCAAATAGTACAGCATAGGAAAAGTGCTTTCTCACAGTGCCAGGCATCTAATATCTCAGTGAATAACAGCTGTCTCTCCTTCCCTGTATGTACCTGCATAGTGCTGAGGCAGATTAAAACCAAATAAGACTCACTGCTGGCGGGAAAGGAAAACTCTGGACAACAGTTTGGCAGCTCCTCAAAACGTTAAAACAGACTTACCATATGACCCGGCAATTCCACTCCTAGGTATATACCAAAGGAATGGAAAACAGTGGTTGAAACAACCACTTGTGCAGAATGTTCATAGCAGCACTATTCACAATAGCCAAAAGGTAGAAACAATTCAAGTGTCCATCAATGGATGACTGGATGAACAGATGTGGTCTATCCATACCATGCAACATTATTCAGCCATGAAAAGCAATGAAGAACTGATACATGCTAGGACATGGGTAAGCTTTGAGAACAAAAGTGAAAGAGGCTGAACTTAAAAGTTCACATATTACGTGTTTCCATTTAAATGAAACATCAAGAATAGGTAAATCCATAGAGACAGAAAGCAGGTTAGTGGTTTCCAGGGGCTCGGGAGCGGTGGAAATAGGGAGTGACTACCTACTGACTAACAGGTCTCCTTTTGGGGTAAAGAAAATGCTTTGGAACTAGATAGAGGTGGTAGTTACACAACATTGTGAATGTACTAAATGCCACTGAATTGTACACATTTAAATGGTTAATTAAAATCATAGAATAAAATAACACACCTGCCTTACCTTTAGGAGTTCACAATCTTAGCTGGGTCTCTTTAGACTCTTAAGAGTTGGCTGAGGGAACTTCCCTGGTGGTCCAGTGGTTAAGAATCCACCTTCCAATGCAGGGGACAAGGATTCGATCCCTGGTCGGGGAACTAAGATCCCACATGCCGTGGGGCAACTAAGTCTGCGCCACAACTACTGAGCCTGTGCACCACAACTGGAGAGAAGCCGGTGCGCTGCAACAAAAGATCCCACGTGCTGCAACTAAGACCCGATGCAGCCAAAAATAAATAAATATTAAAAAAAAAAGAGTTGGCTGAGGCACATTTGCAGCAACATGGATGGACCTAGAGATTATCATGCTAAGTGAAGTCAGAAGGAGAAAGACAAACACCATATGATATCACTTATATGTGGAATCTAAAATATGACACAAATGAACTCATCTATGAAACAGAAACAGACTCACAGACATAGAGAACAGACTTGTGGTTGCTAAGGGGGAGGGGGTGTGGAGGAGGGATGGATTGGGAGTTTGGGATGGGCAGATGCAAACTATTATATATAGGATGGATAAACAACAAAGTCCTAATGTATAGCACAGGGAACTATATACAGTATTCTATGATAAACCATAATAGAAAAAAATCTGGAAAAGAATGTACATATATGTATAACTGAATCACTTTGCTGCACAGCAGAAATTAACACATTGTAAATCAACTATAGTTCAATAAAATAAATTTAAAATAACATAA